GCACTCTAGCCCAGGCAGCAGAGTGAGACGCTGTCAAAAAAAAAAAAAAAAAAAAAAGAAGGAAAGAAAAACCCCAGACACTATCGTTTTATCCCTACATCCATCATTATAGATCTCTAAAAATTAATGACATTTTCTTATGTAATCACATTGCTATTATCAAATTTAATAATATTTCTTTGTTATCTAATTATCACTTCATAGTCAGATTTCCCTGCCAGACTGAAAAATATCTTAAGTCTCCATTTTATGGCTGGATCCATATTTCTTGTCCCTACCACTTTCTTAAAGACAAGCTCTTTGTTGTAGGATCACTGAATGAGAGAAGTACAGATAGCTCTGTGCAAATCCATCTCTACCATTAGAAAAATAAAGTGTAAGCTCTTTTGACAGGGCTGTTGGCTTTATCTTTATATACAGAAATGGTACAATTCACCAAAATCTCAAACTCTTCATTTCCTCTGAGAGCCAGAATACTTAGATTTGAATCCTGGCTCCATCACTTACTAACCATACGACCTTAAATAGTATACTTAATCCCTCCATGCCTCAGTTTCCTTTCCTGTGAAATAAGAGTATTAGAGATTTATGATATACATATGCATATTAAAGGGCCTGGGAAGACCTCTAATAAAGAACCTGTGTAAATTTGTTGAACCTATCATGTTTCTTAAATTTATCTGAATACAGGTTTTTGTGGGAAAGGAAAGTCTATTGTAGATGTTCAAGGACTGGAACATGTAATAATTGACCCCATAGTTTATTCCAGTGCACATGTTGAACTCTCCAGAGCAGCAGTGTTCAATAGAAATATGATAGAAGCCACATAAGTAATTTTAAATTTTCAGGTGGTCACATAAAAAACAGGTGAAATTATAGTTTTACTTTTTTATTTTGAAATAATTATAGACTTACAGGAAGTTACAGAAATAGTACATAGAGTCTTATGAACCTTTTACCCAACTTCCCTCAGTGATGACATCTCAGGTAACTGTGGTATAATTTCAGAGCCAGGAAACTGACATTGGTATGATACTGTTAACTAGACTACATACCTTATTTAGTTTTTACTGGTTTTTATAACCCCTCCTGTGTGTGTATGTGTGTACATAGTTCTGTATGATTTGGTTCCATTTGTAGATTGGTGTAACTACCAGTATTATCAAGATAGCTGTTTATTACCACTAAGGAACTTCCTTGTGTATCCCTTTACAGTTATATCCTCTCCTGTCTCCATCCCCTGGCAACTACTAATCTGTTCTTCACCTCTGTAGTTTTGTCATTTGTGAATGTTATATAAATAGAATCATATACGGTTGACCTTGAACAATGCAGGAATTAGGGGCACCAACCCCCTGTATAGTCAAAACTCCATGTGTAACTTTTGACTCCCCCAAAACTTAACTACTAATAGCCTACTGTTGACTGGAAACCTTACCAATAACATAAACTGTGCATTAACATATAAATAGACTAGTATCTACGTATATTTTATGCATTCATGACATGCCTAACTTTTTCTTAGTTTTTCAATATTTCTAGGCTCCGTGGTTCATCTGTGAGTTTTTTCAAATTGTTGTAAATCTCCAAAAAATTTTCCAATACATTTAATGAAAAAAATCCATGTATAAGCAGACCTGCACAGTTCAAATTTGTGTTGTTCAAGGGTCAACTGTAGTATGTAACCTTTTTTGACTGGCTTTGTCTTTTTTCTCTGAACATGATGCTCTTCAGATCCATTTAAGTTGTTGCATGTATCAACCATTCATTTCTTTTTATTGCTGAATAATATTTCATTGTGTGGATATACCAGAGTTTAGCCATTCACACGTTGAAGGACATTTGAGTTGTTTTCCGTTCTTTTTCGATTGTAAATAAAGCTGCTGTGAACTTTTGTGTACAGATTTTTATGTGAATATTAGTTTTCATTTCTCTAGGCTTAATGCCCAAGAGTGCACCTGCTAGATCTTTGGGTAAATGCATGTGTTTCATTTTATTAGAAACTGTCAAACCATTCCAGAGTGGCTTGTACCATTTGACATTCCCACCAGCAATGTATGAGACTTCCAGTTTTCTCCACATCCTTGGCTGCATTTGGTGTTAGCATTATTATTTTTTAAAATTTTTCATTCTTTTTGAGATAGAGTCTCGCTCTGTTGCCTGCCTGGGGTAGAGTGCAGTGGCGTCAGCCTTGCTCAGCAATCTTAAACTCCTGGGATCAAGTGATCCTCCTGCCTCAGCCTCCCAAGTAGCTGGGACTACAGGTGTGCACTACCATGCCTGGCTAATTTTTTCTATTTTTAGTAGGGATCGGGTCTCACTCTTGCTCAGGCTGGTCTCAAACTCCTGAGCTCATTGATCCTCCAGCCTCGGCCTCCCAGAGAACTAGGATTACAGGGGTGAGCATCACGCCCGGTGCAGCACTATTTCTTATTTTAGCTATTCTAATAGATGTGTGGTGATGTCTTACTGTATTTTCAATTTGCAGTGAAACTAATTTTAAGAATATATTTTGTTTAACCCAATATATCCAAAATATTATCATTTTAATATGTGGTGAGGATAATGTAATTAATGAGATATTACACATTCTTCTTATACTAAGACTTTGAGATCCACTGTGTTTTATACTTAAAACAGAATCAATTCCTACTAGCCACATTGTTGGGGTTTTTTTTGGTAATGTGGACACTTTATTTTTGAGTTAGGGTTTCACTCTGTTGCCCAGACTGGAGTGCAGTGGTACCATCATACCTGACAGTAACCGTGAACTCCTAGGCTCAAGTGATCCTCCTGCCCCAGCCTCCTGAGTAGCTGGGACTACAGGTGTGCACCACCAAACCCAGCTATTTTTTTTCATTTTTTAGAGACTGGGTCTCACAATGTTGCCCAGGCTGGTTTCCAACTCCTGTCCTCAAGCAGTCCTTCCTCCTCGGCCTCTCAAAGTGCTGGGATTACTGGGGTGAGCTACTATGTTTGGCCACTAGCCACATTTTAATTGCTAGTGGCTACCATAACAGTGAAGTTCCAAAGCAGCAGGAAGTATTAATATGTGACTACCTTCTAGATCTAGTTACTGAAAGGTACATATTTTCTTTATAGGAAGTATAACTTTGTCTTATTTTTCACAGGAAAAGAATAACAAAACATGCTCTTAATCATCATCCCCCTCCAGAGCATCTGGATGAAATTTCCTCTAACAGTGACAACCATGAAAAAGACACAAGTTCCCAAAGGTAATAAAGTATTCTTGTTTGCTTATTGCATTTGCTAATGGCAGAAGTTTTGGTTTTTGGTTTAGGATTGGTATTATGCCTGTGCTAATAAACAAAATAAGAACTTTTCATCACGTTTCAGCACCATTCAGTTTTCATGCTGAAACAGCTAATGGCAACAACATCATACTTATTTTCATAACCTCTGAGAAATAGTATTATGAAGTAGTTAAGAACAGGGACTCAGGAAGAGTCTGACATCTGATTTTTAATCCTGGTCCTGCCACTTATTACCTGAGTAACAATGGGCAAGTTACTTACCTGATAATAGTATCTCTTCTAGGGGTGTTGTGAATATTAACAAGATATAGTATGTAAAACTTGGCACAATGCTTAGTATATAGTAAATGCTGGGTAAATAATAGCTGCAGTTATTAGTTTAAGAAATAGTCTTCTCGGTCGGGTGCGGTGGCTCATGCCTGTAATCCTAGCTCTCTGGGAAGCCGAGGCGGGCGGATTGTTTGAGCTCAGGAGTTCGAGGCCAGCCTGAGCAAGGGCGAGACCCCGTCTCTACTAAAATTAGAGGGAAATTAATTGGACAACTAAAAATATATAGAAAAAAAAATTAGCCGGGCATGGTGGTGCATGCCTGTGGTCCCAGCTGCTCGGGAGGCTGAGGCAGGAGGATCGCTTGAGCCCAGGTGTTTGAGGTTGCTGTGAGCTAGGATGACGCCATGGCACTCTAGCCCGGGCAACACAGTGAGACTCTGTCTAAAAAAAAAAAAAAAAAAAAATCTACATGGTAGCAATTCAGATAATAAACTCTTTAGGAACTAGGAAGAAGAAACTGTCATTTTCCCATCAAGTGAACAGGGTTTAGATTAAAATAATCTGTTTTTATAATTAATTCTGACCATTCTGAGAGTAAAAAAAATTTTGTATGGAAAAAATGCTGATAGGCAGTTATTGGGCCAGAATTATTGACCCAGCATAGTTACACTACTTGTTTTTGATTGTTGATTTGATGCTTCCTAAAGATTACTCTCCCAAAAGATGATT